TATTACTTATAATGAGATGTGCTTAGAATAACTACTTATTAGAGTGATGCATGTCGTTAATCCTAAAAATGTTATATTTTCATTTTGTTTAACCAAATGATAGTCTGGGTCATGTATAATTAGTCCTGCTTATCCCCTTGTTCCACCCCCTTTATTTTTTCATGTTGATTTATTGTTTATTAAATAATGAATGGTTATGGTTAATATTGCAAAAAACCTTTTCAATAAAAATTAATTTGAAAAAAAATATTGCATGTTAACACCCAGGATAATTGTTATATAAAGATTAAACCTTCAATACTTCTGTGCTTGAAGAAAGTTTAGCTTTGAAACTCAACTACTGAGCTACAAACATTCATTTTATGATCATCACTGGCAGGACACAGATAAGATTTCACAGCTTTTATTCTGGAAAATATAAAAAATTATATATAGCACCATGACACCAATGCTGTATAATAATGCACTTTTAAACTGGAATTTATTTTGTCACAAGAAGGTTCATCCAAACTTTTCCTGACATACCATTTTTCACAATGTGCAGGTTAGCTAGATTGTTCTTTGCTTGGCAGTGTTACAAATTTTAAGCAAGTATTGTCCATTGTGTCAATCGTAAAATGCATGCTACAAGGGTATGTCTTTTGTCTTATGAGGCATGTAACTGCAACTTTTAACCTAGTTTATCATTGAACAATATGGTAATTATTAAATTAAAACACAAATGAATAGTGGATTGGAATTAAATGTTTAGCTCATCTCAATTTATCAGCACACTTTTAAATGTGTATTTTCATACATATAAATATTAATTGGTGACGCTGATGTTAAAACCCTTGTCAGGGGCAGGGATTGACCGCCATGCTGTGAGGATGCAGCAAGCCTTTTTTTTTCAGCTCCTGAGAAATCCTACAAGTTTAATGTTTTAAAAGCTATAGCTATGCTAATCTATGATACCCAGCTACTGAGATCGCAGTTGAGCATCTTTAGAGCAGCATTAGCTCAGCAATTCAGCCCAACTACTGTTGTTGTGTACCTTCAGCATCATCTAAGTGATTGTGGCCTGGTGTGGTTTACCAGCAAGGGAAGCGGCTGATCACTCGAATAGGACTGCCCAGACTAATCTAGCGACAAAGGAGCCCCATACCACTCCCCCCTGGACAGACGGGGTTATCCCGGTCCCCACCAAGCAGAGTATACTCACATTCCAGCAGCTCCTGAGTGATTCCAGACTCCCATGCTGCCTACCTAAAATGGCTGACTTTGGTATTGCCACAAAGCAAGCTACACAGTCTATGGTTCAAAGCTGGGAGGAGAGGTCCCATAGAGAGTTTTCGGCCATTTGTCAGAGGTTCTGGCAGAACCTGGAGAGGAGACAATCCATGCTGTCAGCTACCATGGTTAAACCCGCTTACACACCTCCTGAGTAAAAGCCTGCTTGCAAAAATCCCACTCGGAAGCTAAAAGTTTCCTGCTCTGCAGCTCCCTTATGGACCTCCTCAGGCCGCTCGTGGCCCAAGCAAGCAAGAAGCACTGCGCTCTCGAGGACTTTGTCTAGGGGTAGAGAGAGAGCCTGGTGGCAGACCGAGCTGGATGGTGGAGGCGAACTGTGGAATCTCTGGTGGACCCGATAGCCCCACACATATACTTGGATTCTGCCTGTTTGTCAAGGGCATCGGATGAGCAGGGCTAGGAGTTTTGGATGCCTGTTCGCTTAGTGCATCTCCTTTCCTTCTGGGCTCTTAACCTGTCTCTCACCTTTAGCCTTACAACAGTCTTCCCCACTTCCCTCCTAATGTTCTGTCTCCTCTTACAGATGTCATGACTATCACCTTGGAACCCATAGAAAAGTTTTGGTAGCTTTATTCTCATTTACATATCTACCTGTGTAGTCAGATCAAATTATCTGAGCATTTTTACTTTACTTTGTACTGACTCACATCTGTTTCCCTTATATTTTACTCCTTTGATTTACACTATTGTTCAGCAACCAGCACTCTTTATGTCTAGACAGTTTACACTCTGTAAGCTTTATCTCAGTTTAAAGGGACACTATAGTCACCAGTGCAACTACATGTATTCCTGACCCTATAGTGTTAACACCACCATCTAGCCCCCCTGGGCCCCTCATGCCTCCATAAATATAGTCAATATCTTACTGTATTCAAGCCAGAAGCTGTAACTCTGCATGCTGTTTGCCTAAAAAAAAACCAGTCTGCTGACATCATCAGAAGTTGTAGCCTGATCCAATCACAATGCTTCCCCATAGGATTGACTGAGAGTGACAAGGAGGCAGATCATAGGCAGAGCCAGCATGATTCAAACACAGCCCTGGCCAATCGGCATCTCCTCATAGAGATGAATTGAATCAATGACTCTCTATGAGGAAAGTTCAGTGTCTGCATGCAATGGGAGGAGATACTGAATCACAGGATGCCTATGCACAGCAGATCTGAGTGGATGGAGGCATATTATGCCTCCATCAACTCCAAAGTCCCTCTGGTTCACTGTGAGTAACTGCAACTGGAGGTGTTCCTAGCTTTCAATGTAAACACTGTATTTTCTTAGAAAGGCTGCAGTGAGCTATAGTTCTCACCTGAACAACCTCATTAAGCTGAAGTTGTTCAGGTGACAATAGTGTCCCTTTAATAGATAGGCATGTGTACCTAATTATAGAGTTCTATATATCCAAAAATTGTGCAAATTTCATATGTCACACCATTGTTTAGCTATGCAATTGTCTCCTCATGTTTTATGATAAGCTAGCATTGGCTGTTGTGGTATTGCAAGCCTACATGTCATATCTGTGCACAACAAAAATAAAGAATAAAAGAAACATGCCATTGTGTGTTTTTATACCATTAGGAAATATTATCATGTGATCTGTATTTATCCAAGTATACTTTAAAGTAGGGTTTAACATTTCCACTGCCCCCTTGCCATTGATAAGTACAATAATCAGCACTGGTGAGTAACAATTTACCACCTGTAAGTGTGAAATGGATGATTCAGGCTTTCATTGGTTTTTGAAAACTGTCATGTATCATAGGACTTGAAATTCTGAGCCCTGCTTTAAAATAAACTTAAACTGTAAAGTAAAATATTTGAACTAAAGCACATTTCTATCTCTAACTAGATGATTACTCATTTCGTAGAACATGATTTTTACAAAACTTAGCTCCTTTTCCTTTTCCTTTGAATTATATTCCTTCATTATCCATTGCCTTGCAGGTCAATAAAATATCAATACATGGCACCTAAAATGCTCAAATTTTGTGTAACTGGTTGTCACGATCTTTTACGTCGTTCCAGTGTGCTCTCTCCGGTGGATTGGCAAGTTCCATGCCACACGCTGGGATCAAGCCCCTTCTTATGATGCAATGCATGTGCATCAACATCATTATGTTGATGACATGGATTTGCGTCATTTTCATCTGCCCAGAATGTTTTGGGGGCATGGCTCTAAAGCAATAGACACACATATAAAACAGGGCGTCTTTTACTTTGTACTTTTCCCTTTTGTGGTTTTTAAAGTCTAGTGCTACTCTTTGTCTATTAGTGTTCTCTTGGTATATTTGACTCAGCTTTGTAATTGACTATTCTGTTTTCTGGTTTCCTGACTCGACTTTCCTACTTTCTGGTATCCTGACCCGGCTATTCCTTAATCACTCCCCTGATTTCTGATGTCCTTATATTTTTGGCTATCCTCTGATTTTTCTTACTTTTCTTTGTTGTCCTATGTGAAGCCCAACCATACTAATGTTTGTTTTTTCATTCTATGTATACTGCGGGGCTACA